CTTGATCGGGTCCATCATCCATTCCCCCACCATCCGATTTGAGTATACGATGGTGAAATTTCTATTTTAAATATCAATTTTTTAAATCTCTAAATTCTCAATTATTTTCAAACTTTCCAAACCTTTCCAAATACCCAAATCTAAACTCAATTTCCAATTTCCATATCTATGCTGCTACTATATGCCAGATAACACGTATTATACATATCTGATTGAAGACTTGCCTTAATCGAAAGTTCTCTCTCGTTATCGGGAGGGTAATTAACTATAGGGGCTTACGCCTATAGGAAACCAGAACTCAGATCATAAAGTCCTCAAAAAATGAGGACGAAATCTCTAGGTAGTGTATTATCTACAAACCCATCTGCCTTCCAAAATTTACCTCAGAACTTAGTTCGTTAAAACTCCCTCGCCGAATAAGAAGAGCGAGTGGAGGCCGAGGTCGAATTTTCGGAGCCCACAAATTTCTGGCTACTCCGCTGGGGAATGGTTTCTCTTTCCATCTCTGGCTAGTCATTCAAAAGCTATAGTAGCAATTATTTCAACCTATACTCAAGATTTTGAGTCTTTCAAAATGATCGTTTAATGATTCAAAACTCTGAATTTTATAAAATGATCTTCCAACAAATTTATTTAGCATTCCGCAGAGTTTTAAATTTTATTTTTATTGTTTGCTTATGCTAATGATTTTTGTTCATTTGTGCAAGTCTCTGCATTTTGAAAGTGCAGGGTGATGTATCAGATTCTGATTACTAACCCTTGCCTTTCATTTATGCAGATGGATCTACAAAACACCCCAAATGACTGTCCAACTGAGACAAGGAGCCAGGATTCAGCTGGCGAATGCTGTTATTGAGACCAAAAATGCCGGAGCTACCATCCAGTTTGGTAGCGTTGACTTTCGGCGATTGCTGCAAGGAATGTCGCCATTCCTGTGAATGGTAGGAATGTTGAGAAGTCTGCCAGAAGACTCAATACTGATGAAGTTGTCATCCGTCGTTTGCATCTACTGGCACAACGACCTTTTGTTGAAAATTATCGTGGGAGAATTTATATGTTTGAAAGGCTGTCACAACCTAAGGCCCTGACCACCAGAAGAATTGTGAATGGTGAAAGAGTTTCTGTGGTAGCTGCAAACACCACCACTCTGCCGACCAGGTTATCTGCACCTGGAAAATACGATGCTGATGTCTCCTCATCTGGAGGAAGGTCTACTAGGAGGCAGAGAAGGAAGATGAACGCTGAGCTTCGAGCTCAGCATCAATAACTCCCGGTCCACCCATCAAATCTGCCGGCCCAAGAGTCTGAAGCTAACATTCCAACCCGGAATGGGTTTGCAAATCTGAAGTGGGTCAAAAGAAATAGCTCTACTGGTGAGCTGAAGAAATCCTTCTGGGATCGACGGCCTGAAGCTCCAATCCCTCCAAGGAAGAAAGAGCCTGAAACTCTATCCGCTCGGGTGTACAGAGTACTGAAGACAGTGAAGGAGAAGGGCTTGAAAAAGAAAAAGTTTCAAATGCCTCTAGTGATGGAGACCAGAAGAACCCCGCTAAGGGAACGTCTGTCCTTTACTACAGAAAGAAGAGAAAGAAAGCAAAACCCATGCGGTGAACATCGGGGCGTGACACCTGAACCATATATTCAGGGATCCGCTACTGAAATGTCCCGGTGGAAAGGAAAACAATTCTGGAGGCCAAAGCCTCGAAGAAATGAGAAAGATAGAAGAGAAAGGAGGATTGATCTGGGCGTGACATCCGGTGAGGCTTCCCAGAGATCCACCCCCATCTACAAACAAATTCAGAAGTGGGCCCCAAAAAGGATCGATAATGATATTCCTCCAGACGGTAGACACCTTGGAGAATCCTCTAGGGGATCCCGTCGCCCTCCATCCCCTCCAAAGAAAGAGACTAACTTCGATCGCAGCCCACTGATCGAAGAAGTCCCCGTGCCTAATCAGGAACTGGAAATCCAATGGCGTCGTCGCTCGGAGATCCAAGTACTGGAAGAAAATATAGATGATCAAAATATAGAAGATGAGGAATTCCTTGAAGGTGACGAAAATTTTGAAGAAAACATTGATGAATTTATGGAAGAAAATCTAGAAGAAGAAATGCAAGAAATAAATAATACTCTGGACATGGAAGTTGTCTATATGGTGAGACGTACCAATGTTAATGAGGAAATCTACTACGATGACGATGAAGATGATGACGATCAGCAACCGCCAATTAGGCGAGTTTATCAACGTCGTCGTGAAGCTGGGTCCACCACTAGCAGAGGTGATCATTCACAAGCTGAAGAAGAAGGAGGAGAAGCTGAAGAGAATCCCTTCGCTGACAAAAATGTCACACTTGCAGACATGCAGAGATGTATGAGGTGACAAATGAGAGCCAAAGATAGAGAAATTTCTCAGTTGAATGAGAAGATGACTGAGATGATGGCTCAGATGGGGGCAATGATGCAGATGATGCAGAGAACTGCCGCTGTTGGTGCCATGCCCAATCCTCCCGCTGATCCTCCAAATTTCCAAATGCCTCAAGTTTCAGGAGTACGAGGTATTCCTGAAGATGGTCATGAGGCTCATAATGTCATCCGTCAGCCCACCCCACAAAATGTTACAAGTACTTCCGAGCTTGTGACTGCTGCACAGTTAGAAAGAATTATTACCGAGAGGATCAGGGCTATTATAGCCGTTGATCAAGCAGAAAAGTTGGTGGGCAAAGGTCGTCCGTATCCTGTTGAATACGACCAAGTGTCATACCCAAAAGGGTATTTCGTACCAAAGTTCAATACTTTCAACAGTACTAACAATCCCAGGCAGCACCTGGCACAGTTTAAAGCCACCTGTGGGAATACAGGAGGAAATGATACTCTAGTCTTCCTACAGTTCGTTAGTAGTTTAACGGCAACTGCTTTCGAATGGTACGCTGAACTACCAAACGATTCTGTGAAGACTTTTGCAGAATTAGAAAATATGTTCGTGAAGAGATTCGCCAGTGCAACAGAGAAGATCACGATTGCTGACCTCGCTCTGGATAAGAGAAAAAGAGAAGAATCAGTGACTAAATACATCACTCGCTGGCGAAATTTGAGCATGAAATGTGAGCAGTTGTTAGAAGAAGAGCATGCCGTACAGTTGTTAATGGGCAACATTGATGACAAGATGCAACCCTTCCTGTGCATGGCTACGATAAACACATTTCAAGACTTGCTCGATAGAGTGGCTAAGTTTGAGAAGCTGAATTTCTCCAGATCAGAAAATCACTCTGATGAGCCCAACAAGGCTAAAGCCCCAGGTGCTAGAAGGGGTTAAGCCGACTCTACATTTTTCTCTAGAGCTGATAGAGAAAAACAAGTGATTTACAATGTAGACAAGGGCAAGCAGCCGATGCAATATCAAGAAAAGCCCAAACAGGCCTACAACCCCAACCCCCAACCAAAGCTGATATTCGGGGGCAATGATAAGCCACGAACTTATCAAGGTGGAGGAGAGCGCCAGAGACAGATAGTGGGAACTGGAGATAGAACGTTTCAATCCCTCAAAGATAAAATGAATAAAGAATATTCATTCAAGAGGGAGAAAGTCGCCAAATTATTTCGACAAGTGTTGAAATCAGGTTTAGAACTGCCTGAATGCAAGAGACCCGAAGAGTCGAAGCACACTGGTGACCCAAATTATTGCCCATATCATCGTGTACTCAGCCACCCTATTTAAGATTGCTACATCTTCAAGGATTGGCTTGAAAGAAAATATCAAAATGGGGAACTCACATTGTCTGACAATGTATTGTCATACCCTAGAAAGGAATCAACTCGGGTGGTCACGTCCTCTTCCGTACCTCTGGTTGAAGAAAGAATAAAAGAAAAGAAGCCAATTCAAAAAGAACAGTGGGAGACTGCGGTCTCCAAGAAGACTGTGAAAATGTTGAAGCATCTTGAAGGAGTTCCAGGTGTAAAGTGGAAGTCTCCTGTTGAGCCTATGATAAATTTGAAGGCACTGTCGATGATGCGAGCTCCTATTCCTAAACAACTCTCCAATCAAGCTAGCACTTCAAAGCCTGGGGGGGTGAAATCATCTAAGAAGAAGACTAAATTGAAGAAGCCTAAGGAGAAAAAAACTGTAACTCAAAGGATTATTGATAGTTTGGATGAGTACTACCAGACTGTGAGGCGACCTATCAAGCTTGTTGACTTCA